AGTTATAGGAGCTCTCTATGGCAAGGGAAAGGCAGAATTTTACATGTTATTGCTTACATTTTATATTGCTTGTATTTTGAAAATAAAGATGAATCTGGGAATTGCTTCTGTAATTAAAATTGTAGTTTAAAGAGGATTTCAAAGGAATCAATGAATATATATATACACACGTTAGCTGAGATAATCGTACTACTAATTTTTCTATTGGTTTATTAAAAGGAACAGTTAATGTTTAATTGTTTAATCAATCTTGCATTCCTATATCTAGTAATCTGAGCAGCCACTTTGAAGGTAACAGTAATACAACCATTGCTGATTTCCTATCATCTGGTTTTGAAATTGTGTATCATTTTTATAGTTTTTGCATTGTTTTGTTTTTGCCTTTGTTTTTATTCTTTTCTCTTTAAAATAAAAAAATTGTATGAAAAAAATCAATATAATTCCCTTTTAATACTGAGCGTCTCTGCATTAAAAATAATTCCATTTATCCCGTTTTACCTCATTCATAGCCTAGGACAAGAAAGGGCAAGTTACTGTATCACAGGCAGACAACGAGGGAATCTAAAAACATGGAAAACATTGCACATGTAAGTACTATTAAGGTTTCTCCCTCAAGAATATGGCTCTGGGTGTGGGTCCTTAAGATGAAGGTTAATTTGGCCAGAATCTTTAAGACCGCTCCCTCTTAATCTTCTAAACAGGTAACAGAAAGAAATCTGTGTTATTTACTCAGACAATGTGGCCACAAAGCCAGGGGGAAATCAAAGATCAGAATTTAGAGAGATTCTTGGTAACTGGTCACTGTCTGTGCCCACAGGACTATACCCTTAGATCTAGGTCAGTGTTTCTCAATCCTTTTTCCATTACGGCCCCTTTAGGATCCTTTTAAGATTTTCTCCCTAATCCCCACCCCAAACTCCAAATGAATGTTTAATACCACATTTTGTTGAAAATAATAGGATACCATTTTTATGGATAAATCATATCCTTTTATATATAATGCCTCAATTTCTTCATGCATTCATCCAGGGAGAGGCAGCTACATGGATTCCATTGCTTGACTAATGTGAATATGTCCAATTATCAGATGTTCATCAAAAAATTTATTAAATATTTAAAGAAATGGAAATCCTGTCTGCCCTGATTTGATCAAGATACACTGTATACATGTATCAAATTATTGCACTGTACCCCATAAATATATACAACTAAAACAATAATAATACATAAATAAATAAAAGTAAAATTTTGAAAATTTAGCACCACAGATATACTATTATACATACTATATATAGTTCATGTACTGTGGCTCTTTGGAGGCCCACAAATTATTATAAAATCCAAGGTTTTCCTGCCTCCTTCAAGAGACAATTTTTGCCCCTCCAACAGTAACTCCAGCTCCGTTGAGAATGAGTGCTTGATGTATGTTCTATGTATGTGCTCACAGAACTTCCCATTTCCTTCATAATATTTCCTAAAGTGGTGAGACAGGTGGGCTACCACAGAGTTTCTCACTTTCTTGCCACGCTTATTCTGAAATACTGGGGCCATGACTAAAACCCAAACAGACCATCTGATCAACGCCATGGAGGACATGCTCCATGGCTAGCAGATCTACAGCTAAGCTTCCTCCAACCTGACACCTCCCAGGGTATGGTGTGCTTGAAAAATCACAGGGACAAACACACTTTTGAAGGATCCTGGTCCTGTTCAGAAAGTACTGTGACTTCTGAAATTCCACGTCACCCCATGAGGAGGAAATAAAGGGAAGGCACAGGGTACCGGATTAGTAAGAGGCTGTGCCCAACAGGACCCTGGGCTGAAGGAGAGAACCAGGCAGGAAAGAAAGACAATTCAAACAACAAGCAGCTCTGGAGGTGTCTGGGGCTGTGTTCCATGGGACAAAGGGCTGACTTCCCAGCTCTTCTCATCTGTACTGTGATACGGTTCATTCTCGAATCAAAGCTGTCCAACGCATACCAACATACAGTATTCCACTCCAGGGTGGTCATTTCATTTTTTTAAATGCGAGTTACAGCCCGTTAAAATGATACTGCCATGCGCTAATGGGTCATAACCATAGATTTAAAAACACAAATATATTCCAAACCCTCCAGTGCTCAGATGAGGAAGCTCAGACACAGCAAGGTCAAATCCAAAGTCCTAAGGCTACTTTCTTGCAGAACCAGGACCAGCTTAGACCAAGGTAAATGCTGACTGTTGGCATCAGACTAGTAATTAAAACTCAACTCAATGAATTCCTTCCCTATAGATCCTTCCTGAATCTCCCTGGTCAAAATTCATTTCTACCCCTGCCCCACTGCCCACACTTCTAGGGTATGATTATCACCGTTTTAATTTTTTTAATATAATACCAGGGCCTCGTGTATCCCAGGTAAGCATTCTACCGTTGATCTACAGCCCAGACTGTCTTGGATTTTTTTTTGACACTCAAAGGCCAGATGCCCTGATGTCCCTCTGAACCTAGAGGCATAGTCCCAAGCCTAGTGATCCCTGACATGGTCCGCATCACCGAACAGACCACCCTGCTCCTCTCCTCTGCTGCTTCCTTGAGTCTTCAAGGTGGGGCAGGAAGCTGCTTTCCTGAAGGAGATGCTGAGCTTACTCACCCACACAGAAGAACCCCAAAGGCCAAGGCACAATGCCTCATGAATCCTGATACACAATTCCCAAAAAAAAACACTGAAAATGTCTGAGCCGATTTGGGTGATTCAGTACTGTCCAAAGTCAGTTCCTCAGGGGCCTGGGGAAATGCCAGCACTTAATAGCCAAACAGCAGCCTGTCTCATGGGGGCCCTACTTCTGGATTAAAGATCATGTGTCCAGAGAGCCACTTGCCAACCAGGTTCCATCTCTCTTGGGAGTGTGCCCAGAGTGGGGGAGCACATAGAGTGTGAGGCAGCCTCCAAACGCCTCTGCCCGCTTCCACCTTCGCAGTTCGCACCCCAGCCTTCCGGGGACTCTCTCCACTGTCCTTGCTTTGAGGGCCCACAAGTTCCCAATCTCTATGGCTCTCACAAAACCATGAAAATCAAACTCATCCCATCAGAGACGCATCTGGCCCCTGCTTAAACCTCTAAGGTCCCAAATATGTTGTATGTCGGGGGCTGGGGATTTAGCTCAGGGCAAAAGCGCCTGCCTAGCAAGCGCAAGGTCGTGAGTTCGGTTCCTGGTACCGGAGAAAAACCAAAAAAAAAAACAAAACAAAACAAATATGTTGTATGTCTCCGAGTCAGGTTACCCACAGCAGCTTGAATGACATTCATAAAATCACATCTTCCACGTCCTCGTGCCTTAGAAGGGGGACTCACTCTCTCTATCAGGGCTCCTGATGAACTACAGGCTGTGTGCCAAATCCATCCAGGCACCTGTCTTTGCAAATAAATTTTTATTGGAACATAGCCACACCCATTTTTTTTGGCTATTGTCTGTGGCTTCCTTCATTCTGTAGAGCAAAGCTGAGAAAGTGCAAAAAAGACTATGGCCTGCAAAGCCAACAATATTTACTATCCAGCCTTTTACAGAAAAGTCGCTCGTGCTCAGCGTATAGACTCCTGCTCAAGTCGTCTGCTAAAAATAGCAGTAAAACATACACAACATAGAACCTATGATTGTAATCATTTTTAAGTGCAGTTTCAGGGGCACTAAGTACAATTGCATTATTTTACAACCGTCTCCATAATCCATGGTCAGAGTTTGCTTTACCATCCCAATTGAAATCTGTACCCATTAAGTAATAATTCCCCAGTCCCTGGCAACCACCCCTATGCTTTCTCTCGATACGGATTTGACCACGCTGGGCACCTCGTGTCTGGAATTATACACTAATCGTCCTTTTGTGTCTGGATCCTCTCACTTAGCATACTGATTCCAAGGTTCGTCCTGTGGTGTCAGAACTCCCTTCCTTTCCAAGGCTGAATAATATTGCATTATATGTACAGGCCACGCGTTGTTTATCTCTTCACAGGCTGATGAACTTTCAGGTGATTTCCACCTTTTGGCAGTTATGAATAATGCTGTCACCTGCTTGATTTTTGTTTTATTTGATTTTTTGAGGCAGGTTCTCACTAAGCTCCTCAGGCTGGCCTCAAACTTGGAATCCTCCTGCTTCAGCCTCCCAAGTAGCTGGGATCACAGGCATGTACCACCACATCTGACTTGCTTAATTCTCCATTCTCAGTTTCATCCCATGCCTGGCTCCCCTGGCCACGGGGGCCTTCTTCTGTCAACTCCCACTGCAGATCATCCTTCCACCCTCAGATGAGATGAGCCTTGGGAACAAAGTCCATGCTAAATTTCAAAGCCCTCATTATAGAAAAAGATCATCCCAGCAATAATATTTTACCCTCATTCTACATTGGAATGATAATATTTTGACATAGTGGGTCAAATGAAAATGGGTATCAGTTATTTCTTTTTAATGCATTTCAAAGTGGCTACCAGAAAATTTAAAGCTAATCGATAGATTGCATCCTATTTCTAGGGACAGTTCTAGAAGTAGGGTGCAATCTATAGATTAGCCCTGGGATCCCATTTCTAGGGACAGCCCTAGGCAAGACACCACAGGGGTCGGCAAAGGCCTTAGCAAAGGGCCAAGTGGTGTCTATTTGGGGTCTTATGGGCCTTACTCAACTCCCCCACTGTCACACAAGAGCAGCTACAGACAGTTCTTACAGGAATGAACTTGCGTGTGTCCTGACAGATCTCACTTACGAACACAGGCCCTAGGTCACATTTAGCCCACACCCTCCATTTGCCAACCCATTTCTGGAATATTAATAGCATTTTAGAAGGAGCCCAGTTCTGGGAAAGTCCATGCTATTCACTTTTTGCACAACCCTCAGAGAAAAGCCACCTTTCACTCAACTAAAGCTGGGAGAGGAGTCTACTCTGGACTCCCAGATTCAGGGGTCCTGGGGCCAGAAGGTCGCCCTCACGGCCCAGGACGCTCCTGCCCCGGCACCCACTACCGCACTCACTTGGGCGTGTGGGCCTCGTCCACGCGGTGACCCAGTTGGAACTCGTGGGATTTGCTCCGGTGCAGGGCCGTGAATCCCGGGATCAGGTGGATCAGCTTTCGAGAGGACGGCGGCGGGGTACCCGGGGGCTTCAGCTTGTTCTTCCTCCTCATGGGCGGCGTGCCTGGTGGGGTCACCGTGGTGACGATATTTGGGGTGCGCGGTGGGGTGCGGACTGTGTGCCGCTGCCGGGGCGATGGGGGCAGGGACCGGTGGCCCGACTCCAGGGGCGGCGGTGGGCACAAGCCCGGGTAGGCGTCCACAGTGAGTCTGTCCACGTGAGTGTACACGGGCGCCCCGGGCGTGGGGCTGGTGTGACAGAAGTGCTGGACGCACTTGGCCTGGACTCGGGGGCTCTGGGAGAGGTGGGTGCGGATCCACGGCGTGGGCTCTGGGGGACACACGGGATTGTTTTCCTTCCCCGTCTCCGTGGTGGGCCACTGGATGGTCCAGTCTTGTTTGGAAAGGTTGCCTCCTGAGTCGGAACAAAGGGGCGGAGAGACAATAGATAAGCCAGGAGGAAGCAAGGCACCTTACACTGTATGCACAGCACCTGACATCCCGTGCGCATTACACAATACGCACGCCCCGTGATACGCACTGACGTCAGATGCACATTATATGACATGCTCCTTACGCTGTATGTACCTAACATTACAGGCATGTTACACAATATCCACATCATATACACCTTACATGATAGCACCTTACATCATGCGCATGTTGTACAACATGTACCTCACATCATATGAACATTACATGGCATGTACCTTACATCATATGCTGACTACATCGTATACACAGGACACATATGCATATTACACCATATAGTCATTACATCATATGCACGTTACCTCATGTGCATGTCATGTTATACTCATGTCACAGCACATCGTAGGTATAACACATCTTACACATGTTACACCACTTGCATATTATACTTTGGTAAATTCTGTCGTATGTGTGTTACATCATCTGTACCTTCCATCATCAGCACATTTACAAAAGCCAGCCACACCCTCTGGCCCTCTCCAAAAAGAGAAGGAAATCCCTTTGTTCCCTCGGCTACTCCCTGCCCCATGCCACATCCCTGCTCTCCGTTGCCTTCCACAGCACAAAGGCTCAGAAAAGCAACGATAATATTTTGATATATTGAGTCAAATAAAAATTGGTATCACTTCCCTTTTAAGCTTCCAAATGTTCCAGCACTTTTGAGTGACTTAAAGTATTCTCAGGAATAACTTTTCCCTTTTGTGCTGATTTTACTGACTCTCGCGTGAGATATGCAAATTCTCCAGAAGTCCAGTTCACGCTTGGCCCTTCCCTGCCCGCGGATTTGGTCTCCGCCCTGTGTTCTGGGTGGGTGTGGCTGAGTGCTCATTCGCGCATTCATCTAACACCTCCAGAACGACAACTGTGTGCCAAGTACTGTGCTTGGTGAAGGGGTAACAGCAGCACCCAGACGAGACCCTGGCCTCCAGGGCTGACCTTCTGCCAAAGCAGAGCAGTGACAGGCAAACAGACACGCTTGCTGAAGCATTTCCCGTGGTTACCGCGCTGGGAGGGAAAGAAACAGGATGATGTGATAAACAGTACTGCCACGGTGAATGCTTACACAGGCTCTGATCCACGCAAACCACGGACCACTGCTCGGCCGTAAACAGGAACCTGGGTGGACCTCCAGGGAATTATACTAAATGAAAAGGGCTAATCCCAAACGTTACACACTGTCTAATTCCACTTACATAGCATGTTTGAGATGGCTACATTTTAGAAAAAGAGGACTGATCGCTGGTTGCCAAGGCTTAGGGATGGGGGAGGAGGGCATAGGAGCAAGTGGATGTGGCTATAAGAAAGTAATACAGATCTCTCAATCTCTCTCTCTCTCTCTCTCTCTCTCTCTCTCTCTCTCTCTCTCTCTCTCTCGGGCCTACACTTTATTTCTTTGAGTACATACTTTTAAATTTCTGTCTAAATAAATCCCTTTATGAAAAAGGAAGAAGCACACAAGCAAGCAACACAAGCAACGCCATGCAGTCCAGCACTGACCACAGTGGAGAATACATGAATCTACTCAGCTGAGGAAATTACATAGAACTAAATACACACACCACCCAAGTACGCGTAAAATTGGGGAAATCTGAAAAAGGTCAGTGTGCTGCATCAATACTAGGACACTAGTTTTGCAGAATGTTAGCATTAAGGGCAACTGACCAGAGTGTGTGAGGAATCTCTCTGTATTATTTCTTACAAGTGCCTGTGCATCTATAAGTCCCTCAAAAAGTTTAATTAAAAAATTAAAAACGACATCCAAGAGCAGAGGTGGGGAGGTTCCTTTAGCAGAGCACTCAGAGAAAGCCTCCTAAGGGAAGAGATGTGCAAGCTGGCATCTGAAGGACCAGAAGATCAGCATGCCAACAGCTAGGACCAGGAACACAGGTGGCGGGCACAGTGAGGGCAGAGGCCCAGAGGAGGAAAGGTTGATTTGCTGCTGCTGCTGCTGTTGCTGCTATTGTTGTTGCATTTTAAGTCTTCCAGAAGTTTATTAGAAATAATAGAGAATTTCTTTTAAGATCCCACAGTAATGAATATAAATTTAGGTTTTTGGCCTTGATAAAAGTTAAATTTAAAAAAAATTAAACCCAATAGCATATTAACATTTTCTACTCATTTGCTATATTAATAGCACACCTGCAAACTCACTCTATCTAAAGACAAGAGTCTCAGGCAACGTCCGAGCTAAGAGATGTCAACACAGAAGGGTCAAATAATACCAGATGTTCAGGCTCAAAACCACCTGAAGTGGACAGCCCCTTGCTCTCCTGGGTGCCTTTATGAAGGTGGTGTTCCCGAGGTGGAGTGACATGGGGAAGGGTGTCCTCACACAAGACTGAAGGGACAGCTGAGAGACCGGGCATCATCAGGTGAAGGGCTGGGTTGCAGTTGGGATTCTATAGAAGTTCAATGGGGAGCCACGGACAGTTTGGAAGAATGTTTACCTAATGTTCATTTCTCAAAAATCACACAGGCTGCTGCATGGAAAGTTGTGTCTGGAAAAAGGACATCCTAGGAACCATATGAAAGACACCAGCTCTGAAATTGGGGGCGGGGGGGAGGGTAGCAAAGATGAAAAGAAGATGGCACAGAAAGACGAACTCCTCAAGTTCTGACTTACATGTGAAAGCTGCAAAGGTGATCACAGGGAAGCAGAGAGTAGAACAATGGTTACCAGAGGTGAGGAGGATGTGCAGGGATGCAGAGAGGACGGCTGACAGGTACAGGGAGAGAGGAGAAATAACTTCTGATGTTCTATAGCACAGGAGGGTAATGGTGGTCAATGACGGTTAACTGTAATAATTCAAAATAGCCAGTAGAGATTCTGAGTGATCCTAGCACAAAGAAATGGTAAGTGTTTCAGGTGATGGAATGCCAATTACCCTGATCTAATAAGGACACATTATGTTCATCTACTGAAATGACAAGCTCTAGCCCATAAATATGCACAATAGCTATGTTAATTAAACATTTTTCATACATACATATATACATACAACAAAAAGAGAAGCCAGCCAGTGTCAAGGGAGGCGGAGCCGGAGGGACCAGGGGGAAGTTATCCTGTGGGTGCTTTCATGGAAGGCAAAGGAAGGGGATTTGGGGCAGAGAGAAATTTCAACTCATAGCCAACCGGCAATAACAATAATAATTACTATAACGACCATAACAAGAGCTAATTTGTGGCGCATTTACCAGTTTACAAACTGTTTTCAAGAACACTGACTCACCGCCCCGTTTTAAATTAAAACAACTCATTTTGTTATTCCATATTCATTACAGAAGAAATTAGAAAGTTCGTATAAGGAAAAAGGCAACATTAATCTGTGGCCTACTCATCATCTCTGTTAACATTCGGCTGTTCAGCTTTCCAGCCGGCTTTCTTTCTGCAGGGGAAAGAAATGTCATAAGATAACGCGATGGCTCATCACTTGTTCTATCAGAACTGTTTTACATCTTACTTCATTTTTGTGACTCTGGGCCCAAAGGGCCATTTTTCTTTCCATTTTGTAGCTAAGGACACTGATACGCAGAGATGAAGATGTGTCAGGATCACAGCAGAGATGAAAACTGGCAGCCTGGATATGAACCCAGGCCCTCAGCCACCTCCCCAACCAAGGCATACAGATGTCTGCCACAGAGAGCCGGTCGGCATGTGCTGAAGACCACAGACCATCCTACATCAGTCAAATGGGAATATGGCTGAAGAGAGGCCTTGTTTCTCACAAGAATCTCCTTGTTCCCTCTCCCAGATTTGCTGGAACATTCTACCAAAGTCACCATCATTACATCTACCCTCAAATATGTATGTGCACACACAGCCGAATGGGTAAGAATCAGCTCTGGAGTCAAACGACTTGGGCTCCATATCTTGCTTCCCCTCTTACAGGCTCTGTGACCTTGGGCACTCCTCTAGCCTGTCTGAATCTTAGCTTTGTCACTTGTGAAATGGGACAATAGTAGAACCTTCTTCAGAGATGAAGATGAGGATCAAATGGAGTGACTCAACTAACATGTTCGCCGGGGTCCTTGGCACAAAATAGATAGCTGTAAACATCAGTTACTCTGACTGCAACCCTCAGCACTATGGTAATATGTCAAAATCTCCTACTTAGGGGTGTGTACTGGTGCTGAGAGCTGTGCTATCATCACTCTTTGGACAGCGAGAAACTGATGTCAGGGAGACTCAATAACTGAGCCAGGGGCGGAACAGAGAATCAAGCCCATACAGTTTCTCCAGCACCCAGAAAGCTCTGGATTGATGTCTTTGTTCAGGGAATATAAACCCACTCTATTAGCCTACATAAAACATGTTTAAGAAGAGACAAGCTGTGCTTTTAAGCTATCTCACACTTCTACTACAACACAAGCCCACTCTGGGTGTTATCCCTGCAGCTGTCACCCTCCCTGAGAGACACAGAAAGAATATGGGCTAGGGAATCAGAGGGACCCACTTAAAATTCTGGATCCTCCACGAGCCAGCTCTGTGACCTTGGGCAGTTACTTAACTTCTCTGAGCCTAAATTTTGGGGTTCATAAACGGAGAACAACCATGGTTTTGTTGGAGAAGTTGAGTGAGGTTAACTGCATTCGTTCAACCTTTTATTTCACAAATACCTAAACACCTTTTACACCCAGGCACTGTTGGAGGCACTGCAGTAGAGCGATGAAGAACACAACGTACAAAAATCCCCATCTTCAGGGAGCTCACATTGTTAGGGTGAAAACAGAGAGGGAAGGGAAGGGGGAACAAACAACACACATAGTTCATCCTGCATCATGCATATCACATCCATGATGGTCAGCTATGGATGGAAAGAAGGACATGGAAACTGTTAAGGTTTGTGTCTGGATGTCCCCCCCTAAAGCCTCGTGCAGTCAGAGGGTGGGCTTCTAGAGTTTATGATTGATCCATGACTGAAT